TTACTTTTTATTCGTCTCTCTCTAGGTGCATTAAGTTGTAGTCAGACACTAGAAGTTCTTGCATGCCCAGTGAAAAGCGTTCTACCATGGTGATTTTTCAAATTTGTTCGCTCCGACCCACCAATGCATGATGAAAAGACGCAAGCATGAATCCCTTGCCTTTCGTCCCATGTAGCCATCACGAGCCTCATCCTTCCCCGTTCTCTTCGGTATCGGGGCTGGAGAATCACATGATGCATACGCACCAAGAGCAGCATGCGTAAGCAAGGTCATGGGCGCATGACGTGCCCCAGTCAACTCGTGCACGTACGCCATCGATGCTATGTTGTTTCGGCGTTCTCTGTTTTGTATTACCCATTTCTGTCGGATGTATCAGTCATTGCGCGTCCTTTTGAAGAGGCTGGCATGGTTCATGTACCACGAACGTGATTCATGATGTCGCTCTGCTGAAACTGCGGTCAAAGGCGACGCACTGAACACAAGCTGAGCGTTGTTAGGGTTGGCGAAGGCACGATGCAGGAACGTCGAGAAGACGGACGCAAGCAAAATGGGATGGTCGTGGTAGTAGTAGTAGCAGTAGTAGTACATAGTAGTATAGTGGTAGTATGTGTGGTTTTACATGAAAAAAACCACTATATGAATATGAGGAACGCCGTAGTATAAGTCTCCGCAAATTTGGACCGTCTGGTGTTCTTTAACGTGCACTGACATCACACAGTACACGGGCATCGACTTTTTCACTTCCATCTAAATGTGACCGCCGCGACTGGAATCGAACCCGCGGCATTCGGGTCAGCAGCAGACCACCTTATGGCGACTGGTTCACTGAGGCGGACACGAAACGACGTCGGATTAGCAAATAGCATCTCGAGGCTATTCAAAACAATAATAAGTGTTTTATTATATTTCTGAGCTTTCATTCTTTATACTGATTTTGAAAGGGCAGTGCATAAATACAGGGAAAAGAAAGACATAGAGAAAAGAAAGACACAGAGACAAAGAGTGTTGTCTTTCTTTTCCCTTTGCTTTTGCGCTTCCCTTTCAAAATGATATGAAGCAGCTAGCCCAAACCAAAGTACTCCTCATTCACGCTACACAACAGAACACACAAACCGAACATGACGAGTAATGTCACGTGCAATGCTCTTAATGGAGTACCGTTTAAAATGCAGGAGATAATCAGGAGATGGGACATTTTTTCTCTGCTTTTCTAGATATAGCTAGCATTTACCAAAGTTCTGATGAAGAGCATATGGTATGCGACGTCAGCCCACGAATGTCAACATAAAGGAGCGACGTAAAAACAGTCCCATTCCTTGCTGTACGTCACTTCCTAGATCTTAGGGCGCACGCCCGCTAAAAGTGCAAGTGGCATTCATTAGAAATTGAGCGTTTTTCTGCGACAGCCTCAAAAACATTAGGTTATCTCCGTCGTAATCTGCGAAAGTCTCCAACAAGCATCCGTAAACTGGCCTATTTCACTTATGCACGCCCCCAGCTGGAATTTGCATCTTCAGTCTGGTCCCCTTTCCAAGATTACCTAACCACATTGCTAGAGTCCATACAAAACAGAGCAGCCCGGTTTATATCTCGCAATTATAGCACTCATTGCAGCGTAACAACATTAAAACAAGAACATTCTATTTCGCCATTGCACGTTCGTCGCTCTGTTGCACTGTTATGTTTGCTGCATAAATATATTCACAGCACAAGACGCTCTACGCTACCCCTAATAGCACCATTGTACATGTCCAGACGCCTGCACAATCACCTTAGTTTCACTCGCATTTACGGCAAAACAAAGGCATTCAACTTATCAGCGCTTCCTAAGGCCATATCATTATGGAACGACCTTCCTGACTGCATCGCCTCCATCACCGACCCAGATTCTTTTCGCGAACATGTGAGTTATCCTTTTTCATCGCACTAATCGCTCTAACTTCACTGATGTTTGTAGCTGCAGCTGTGCCACTCACCTAGTTTCACACTTCTCTTTGGTTCTCTTTAATTTTTGCTGTACCCACCGTTGTCTTGCAATTTATATTGGTGAATGCCTTCGTACGGCTAGCAGTATGTGTGTTTGGAAAATGCGTGTGTATGTTGTTTTTTATTGCCATTGTTCTCCCAGTTCTTGTTATTCTCCCAGTTTTTGTTGCTCAGTTGCACCGCCATTGCTGCTCACTTGAATTCTATACCTACGCCTTCCGAATTTCTTTATTGTGTTTCGTTCATGTACCTTGAATTTCTTGTTATTCAAGCTTTGTGCATATCGGTAAACATTCACGTATTACATTTGTTTGAGTGTAAGTGACTAGACACGCTTCGTCACGATGTTGTGTTATTTTCTGTGTATTCCATGTTATTGATGACCGCCCTATTACTCTTTGAAGTTTGTACCCCCCTTACTCAATGCTCTCATTGAGCTTGTAAGGTATCATAAATAAATAAATAAATAGACATGTAATTTTGCAAATCTTAACAAGAATGATGCGGAGTGCCCAAAACACCATTACGCTTCTCAGCTCAAAATGCCCAAACCTAGTGAGGAGCCCTTTAAGGTGTTCACCGATACAGGAGAAATTAGTCCTGCACGATTAGACCAAGCATCTATTTCTACTGGAGAATCAGTGGTCTGGTTATTTGCTCCTGAGCTGCCCTTCTTAGCCGCAACGAAACGAAAGAGATCCAGGAGAGTATGTGGATTGAATGGTGGACGATTGACGCACAAGGCTAGACAAGAAAATGAAAGGCCACATACTGCGAATAGCGTGGAAAATGCATGTCTATGTTAAATTGTTGGTATCTTTCTGCTATCCTAAAAAATGACTTTTTTTTTTTGCTTATACAAGCCACCGAAGTCGTTTTCTTGGAATATTTCAATTTTTGTAGACATTTATTGTGCCTATAATTATGATTTCGAGGGCCTAAAACGGTGTTTTACTTGCCTGTCTTTGGCGCCTAAAACACTTATTTATAGCCTAAAAATCCGGCTTCTAGACATCACTTTTCGGAGAGCAGCCACGAAATTGCCACTCATAACGGAGTAATTGGCGCCAGTATCCACGAGTGCATTGGCCGAGAGATTGGCAACTGTTATAGAAATATCGGCGGAAATTGCTGGGTCGCGTTCAGAAAATTTCGTGACAGAGAAATCGGGTTCGTCAACGTGCCATGGCGGGGGATGTTTGTAAGTTCGGTCGAACTTAAAACTGAGGCCAACAGCCCCACTCCTAGAGGCCGCTGGCCTCAGTTTTCCTAGCGTGGGCCAGGACTTGGGGACCTGTTTCAAACACTAAAGAATGTGACATAACGACTAGGCAAGCCAAGGCACTGAGGAGAAGGTGAGCGTGGCTGGTGGCTTTGAGGAGGAGGGGACGACTTCTGCGCTGCTAGGTATTGTTCAATCTTGGAGGATTCTTCTCGTTGCTCAGCTCAACGCGCGCTAGGGTGAAACCCTTGAACGCCCATCCTGCGATACGCACACTGGCGGTACAGACAGCCTGCTTCGCCGCAGTGGTAGCAAAGGGACCTATTGTCAGAGGTGCGCCATCCGTCAGATTTACGGGTGACTTCGCGCGAGACATCATGCTATAAAGTGCTCTCGTAGGTATTTGCAGGAGCGAATTGACGGGGCGATGGTAAAAAGTAAAAGGTGACCGGTGTCTGGTAGAAGGTTGAGGACTTCTCAATGCTTCGGCGTAAGACAAAGCAGGAGCTTTCACACCCATTGGGAGAAATGGTTGGGTCACATTCCTCAGTTGGTCGCGAATGATGTCACCCAGAATCGTCGCACTCGGGTAAGTAGAAGTGGGGTGAACTTTTTTGCGCTCCTCGCAGAGTGCTGCTAAATCCTCTCCACAGGTGAAAGGTGACACCGCGGCAACAGAAGCTTGGCGGTCGTATTGCAGAGAGCGTTGCTGAAGTGCTCGTTCCATGGTAGTAGCTTCAGTGACAAACTCATCGACAGCAGTTGGGGGCTTGTGCATGAGTCCAGCGAAAAAGTTGCTCATTGACAACCCGCAGGAGGAGTCAAACTTTTTTGTCTCATTCATCAGCGCATTTGAATAAGCGCATTGAGTCAGCACATTTGAATAAGCGCATTGAGTCAGCGCATTTGAATAAGCACGACAGGCCCGCATCTTTCTCTGTTGGCACGCACGCCTTCCTTCATTTTCGAACTGCCATATGGCACCTCTGTCTAACGTGCCTTGAATCGCTCGTTCCCCTCTGCTACACGCTTGAGGCACTAACGCAGCAACTCCAGAATACAATTCGCCAATTTTCTTGCGCAGAACATCAAATAAATGTTTTGTTCACTCTCTCCAGACCTAAGACAATAGTCTTTCGATGACATTTGCAGTGTAACATGCAGATTCAAGGCCATTTTTTAAATTCACAATCGCACAAGTATGAACGCTAGATCTTGAGCAATATTAGTGGGTGCTGCGAATGAGGTCGGCCATTTGAGATATCGTTAAGGGCAAACAAACAGACAAATGCACAGACGGAAACACATACAGACAGACCCAAGTTTTCCTGTGGAAGGTCTCCAAGAAAGACTATCGTCTTTAATAAATGTGCGTTGTTGGGTTCGTTTCGACCGTGTCCACTGTATCTGGTCCACTCCAAGAGCGTAGCGCTCTCTATCTTGAGACGCCACAATGTGCAACCCCACCCTCTTTTTTCCTCTTTTTTCCTTTTTTTTCTTGCAGAAAGTCGTATAACAAGTAATACTCAAAACACATTAACAAAGAATCTTGAAGAAGTAAACAAACAAACGCATAACAAAAGGTTAAAAAAAAAGAAAACTAAATATGTGGCAAGAGCCAGTGAAGATAACTGCATGAAACTTTTGTGGTTCTTTTTATTCTTTTGCAGTTCATAAAAAAGTTGCATAACAAATATTATTTGAAAGTCTAGTAAAGTTTAGTCAAGTGGAAATGAGCAATCATGAATGGCACAGTTGTGAAGGCACGCAGCAGAGCAATGAAGGCTCTTACCAGAAATGTCGTCCACATCAAACTTGAAGTACGAAAAGTTCATGAACCCGGAGTCTTGGTGCAGGTATATCATGTCAGGGTTCAGCCGTGTCAGGTGCATCACAAACTCGGCGAAGCCTCCTAGGGCCAGCTGCAGAGTGAACTGCACGATAACAAAAAACAAAAAGATCAATCGGTGCTTAGAGGCACATTGAGGCACTCGAGTGTTCAAGTGCCAGAATAGTCTATCTGCCCCCTGCCACACTTCAAGCTATCCCTTCCTCATAATGCAGGATACTTTAAATTTCCTTGCTTGCTTCAATGTCTCATTACTGCAGAATATTGCAGACTCCAAGTGCTTCTTTTTTCCACCTGGACAAATATGTTTGAAGTTGCAAGGTAGACCAGCGTGGCAAGAGACCACATACAATGGACCTAGGACCACTACTTGCGGGAGAATGTCAGGATATCTGCCACTATCAATAATGCGAAAAGTATACAACCACTGTACACTGCCAGTCATGACATACGGGGCTCAATCATGTAAAAAAACACAACAAATGCTGAGGACTATGCTGTGTGCTAAGGAACGCAAAATGATAGCATTAAAAAATTGCAGGATGGCAGCATGGGTAAGGGAACAGTGTAGTTGTCCTAGTAGACAACAAGCAGAAAAAAGTGGACAAGAGCTGGTCTTGTAATGTGCAGAGCAGACAATCAATGGACAGTAAAAGCAACAGAATGGTTACTAAGGGATGGGAAATGCAGTTGGGGACGACAGTGGACATGTTTAGTCATTTTGAGGTACTGTTTCCTCAATGACTAAAAGGGATATTCTCATAACCAATTCATCATTATCTTACAAATTTTCCACTTTTTCAACTGAAGCAGTCGAAAGTGATTCATAGAGAGTGATTGATATTGCATTTTTTGCTGTGAATTTTTAACAACAAACACCTCAGTTTTGAGTTAATTGGAATCTATGAAAATTTATAGCACTAAGACAATCAAGTGCATGATTTCAACTCTGCTTTAGTAGCTGTAGGCATTCATGCAGAATGAAAGAAAAAATACCCAAGTACTAAAAATATGGTTTTGCGATAATCGAATTTAAAGCAACACTGACACCAAATTTCAGAATCGAGATCTGTCCTTCGTTCAATTGCTCGGTGTGCATGGGTTCTCTTTGCCAAATTTGAATCGCGTCCGTCACGTGGAAGTTGTTTTATTTCGACGGCAAACAGCATATGAGAGCTTAATAGAAAATGGAGTGCCCCTGCGACATTCCCACTCGTGCTACACGTTCAGTGAGATATATTTCACACAACCATCCTCAGTGACGATGCGCCAGTTGAGATGACGTGAACAATTTGAGCGTTCAGATCGTGGCGCTGACTGAAGCCGAAGCCTGAAAACGCATTCACTCGTCATGTCTGATCTTTGTCGCACCGCTTTGAACGATTTCGTAAAATTACCAAGATGCAAACCACCCATGAAAGATGGGCAAAAGATAAGAGCATGATTTAATGTGTGCTCGTCAGTCAGCATGTCAAGGAGCCGTTGTAAGATGCAGTCGTCTAGTTCAAAGCGCGGAAAAGGCGCAATGAGGGTGTCTTTCCATAACGCGCCAAGTTACACGCCAACATGACCACAAGCTATCGAAGTGGAGAAGCATCTAGACAGATATCATCGCTATCAACTACCACACAGGTATCGTTAATAGAGAACTTCAGCTCATCCGTAGACGTCTTTGCGTCCACATAATACCGGGTTACTGCCACCGCCACTGTGAAGAGACCACATAGGTGGAGCCATCTAGAGGCACAAAAGAGAACTTGGCGGGCAGGAAACATATCCTATTTCTCCGCTGATGTACATTCGGTTATTCCAATCACTCCTTTGCGTACACCTAAATGTTGTGCATGCCAAAACACCCCAATATAGCTACTTTAGACGCACGAGCGAGCATGGCCGAAGAATGCATCCTCGAGCACCTCCTCATTGCTGCTTGGAGTGGCATCCAGTAAAGAATCGCTATTCTTGAAAAGGCCGATCGAAGCAAAAATGATTCGCAAAGTCGCGAATCGCGGCAATTCAAAGCTCCAGACTGTTGTATTCAACCCTACTTGACAATTTATACTGCGACAACAGCAATGCAGGTGAAAAGGCATGAGTGAATGTGTGTGCCTAACCAACGAAATGTTTGCGGAAAAGCTGAGCCTGACGTCACTTTTTTCTGTGGGGAAGTGGTCAGCTGTGGTGCGATCTGGAGGAGACTGCGAGGTGGCACCACTGGAAGCGCTCCCAGAGCTAAAAATGTCTGGATTGCCCGCACTTTTGAATCATGCTAGACAACAGTGATATAAATCAATAAATGTGATAGTTATTTGTCTCTCAGTTGCATTATAGGTCGCTAATTGCTAGTAGGAGTCGATAGCTACTTGATGAGGCAAAAATATTGACATGAGTAAATTTGATGTCAGTGCTCCTTTATAAAGTTGAAAAACGGCTAAGAAGCGCATGCAGCTTGTCACAAACACCGTTCAACTACAGTCAAATCTCATGAATTTGAACATGCTCAATTCGAACTTCCAGTTAACTAGAACTGATGCTGTGGTCCCGACAAAGCTATGTGTTTACCAGTGGGCAAAAACGCCCCGTAATTCAAATGTGCAAGCACTTGTGACGATTGATTCGAATATACCGCATTCCGAAAATGCCCTCAGTACCACGCCCAATAATCCTGCGGTGGCACCTCCCGATACCTCAATGATGCGCGTGAAGACGAAAGAGAAGAAAAGGAAAGGCTGCGGCAGAATGTTTGTTCTCTCTCAAATGCCGATCTGCGACGTGCCTGTGCCACGCTTCTTTCTTTTCTGTCCCAGCCACACAGAGACCCTTCTCCTTTTAACGTCGCGCGCGAAGAGAGAGAGAAAAAAAAAGACTGCCATGGAGTGTTGGTTCTCTCTCAAATGCAGATCTGCCTCTCTCCGCGTGGAGACGCTTCTCCTTTCTCATCATGTGCTGGCCACGCTGCAGCTGCAGCACGGAGGGTAGCAGCAAAGACACAGTCGTCATCGTCTTTAGAGAGTGTCAGAGTGTCGGCGCTTGAGATTGCCGTGCGCAACTTCTCTTGCAAAGAGAATGCTGAAGCCGAAGTAGAAATGCTTAGCAAACTGCGTGCGAAATTGATTGACTCACTGCGAGGCAAACGTGTGCAGACGCGCATCCCCGATTACTACAATTGCAAAGAGTGCTTATTGAAGGACTGTGTACTATTTTAAATTGTCAGGTAACTTCTGTGAGGCAGTCCAAAAACAATGTACACCTTTATATTCCCATTGTGTCTACGAAGCGCATCTCTTCGAACACTTTCACCTCCTAGCTTCATTATAACTCAAGTTTGTCGTGCTTGTCAGTAAGTTCAGATGCTAGGTTAAGGCTAAGAAGGTCTTCAGCAAGTATGAATTTTGTGGCAACCTACCGTATTTTCACGCGTATAACCTGCACGAAAAACCCAAAAATTTCAGTGGGAAAGTGGAGATGCGAATAATACGCAGGGTTTTTTCTATAGCGCTGCTTCCCAGCAATGCGTGTTGTGCTGTGAAGCCCCTTAACAGTGTAGCGAAGGCTTCGGAAGCGGTTTCCGCAAATTCGTGTTGCTCCGCAAGTAGCACGGCAGCTTGCGGCTGATTTTGGTTTCACTTGCTTGCATCGTTGAAGCGTTTAGAAAACCATTTGGGGAGAGACAATTCGATTGTTATGTAAAATCTAATTGTCACACCACAAGTATATTTTTTGGACGTTCGCGGCCACTCAGTGACCCTCCACGTATCCCTACGTCACGGACGCTATGTTTACTTTAGAAAGGGCTTGCCGAAACGATGGTGCTGTCTAAAAAGTTCCATAATAAATAAAGTAAGTTTCATAATAAATAAAAACAGTATTTATTTCAGCAAGGCAAATGAGATGTTATAGTGCCTATAGAGATATAATCAGTAAATTCATGTACTACTTTTTGACGCGGTAGCAGGCATGCATTTCGGTTCTGTTGTTTCCAGGGTGCCGTTACAGTGTACTAGAAGGGGTAGTGCTGTCAAGTTGTCGCCGAGTGTGAGCGCTCTTTACCTCGTTGATACCGCTAGTTCTCCACATCTTGAACCGTTCGCCAGGCCTAAGTCGATTTGTTCTGTCACCATGAGTAGCGTACGGCGGCAGGCCTTCACGGCACAGCAAAAGCTTAAGATCATCGCCGTCGCCGAGGAATTTGGAAATCGCGAAGCGGGAAGACGGCACGATATGGACGAGTCCTGCGTGCGACTGTAGGGAAAGAAGAGAGCCTACAAGCCGCGCACCGCGACCGTAGGTCATTTCATGGCCCCAAGACTGGTGCCTACCCTGAGCTGGAGTCGGAGCTAGTAAAGTTCATCGAAGATGTGAGAAGCAGGGGTCCCGCCGTATCGACCGAGATGGCCCAAGTGGAAGCGCGGCGACTTTCGAGGGAGCTAAGGCCTACCTCACGAGTTCCGTGCGAGCTGCGGATGGCTGCACTACTTTATGAAGCGGCAAGGGCTCTCAATCAGACGGTGGACTACAATGTGTCAACGCTTGCCGGCTTCTTATGAGGAGAAGCTGCTCAAGTACCAGAGATATGCAATTGGCCTGCGAAAGCAGCACAATTACATTTTCTCGCAAATCGGCGATGCGGAAGAAACTCCTTTTTATTTTGAAATGCCGTTAGACACAACCATTGAGAAGACGAGCAGCAGTTTGGTGAGCGTGTTGATCGGCGGGAACTTGAAACTGCACATCACAGTCTTGCTTTGTGCCCTCCCCGACGGCACGCAACTGCGACCGTACGTCATCTTGAAAAGGAAAACTCTATCAAAGGTTCATTTGCCTGCCGGTGTGGTGGTGCGCGCACACGAGAACGCGTGGATGAACAGTGACTTGTTCGTAGACTGGATCAAGACGGTATGGGAGAAGAGGCCCGGTGCGATGCTCGAAAAGAGGTCCATGCTCGTTCTTGACTCGTTCCGCGGCCACACAACTGAGGAAGTGAAGGACCGCCTTTCACGCAACGGCACCGACTTAGTTGTTATACCTGGTGGAATGACATCAATGTTGCAGCCCCTAGATGTGTCGCATAACAAGCCTTTCAAAGCGCATGTCAAGCGCTATTATGCCGAGTGGATGGCCGAAGGCTGCTACGACTTGACGCCGACAGGATGAGTCCGAAGGGCTGATATTGCCCTATTTTGCAAGTGGATTGTCGAGGCATGGAAGGCCATTCCACGTGAGATGGTGCAAAAAAATTTCAAGAAATGCTGCATCACAAACAACATGAATGGAACCGAAGATGACCTTGTGCATAATAGTGAGGACTGCGGCTCAAGTGATAGCTCTAGCGAGAGCAGAGACAGTGAGTGAATTGTGACTGGCCTTGCAGACAGCGTATTCTGCTTGCTAAATAAAGCTTTTTATGTCTACATATGTGCTATGTTGCTTGAGCAGTAGCTTTTGTACAGCCTTTCCTGTATATCAAATGTGCGGGCAATACGCGAGGATTTTTTTTTTCTTTCTTGGTGAGCTGAAAGTGGGGGTGCGGATTATATGCAGGGGCGGGTTATACACGCAAAAATACGTTAAGTGAGAGGCACGTGCACCACATAGCGCAAACAACTTTACAGAAGGTGTTAGCACCCTCGCACATTTCATCATTTTTTATCATCCGAAATATGTTGCCATGATTCATAGTCATTCTTAGAAACTTTTCTACCAGAAACAGCACAAAAATTGCTTGCAGACGCAACAGAATCGTTCGAAGAGCAACATTTTTGAAAGATCTCATAACACGGTCACCTAGACAAGAAACAAAAAAACCAACTACACAAGAAACAAAGCATTAGTGCTTAGAGAATGTGCCACATGGCACAACTAGCATATGATTTTAAATCCTTCCTCAGCACACTTGTGTCTCTACAGGCCCACTTTCTATAGGCGCGGTAACGAAAGATTTTAAGGACTCGTGAAGCCTTGTGACACCAGGGAGCTTTAGAATAGCGTATGCAAAGCTTGTTGTGAGCACAGCGTTAGCCTTTGTCACTCTACAGGAGCACAAGAGGTTAGCATACGACGCATCCCCAATGCAAATGCTCAGTTCTGCGTTGTGCTGTTCTAACTCTATTATGTTCTCAATATATATACAGTTAAAACTCAATTTATTAAACTCACAGGGGCCTACAATATATTTTGTCAAATTAGGAACTTCGTAAAACTGAGAGAACAATAAATTTATCACCTAGTGAAAAGCTTGTGAATTTCATGTGCAGAAGAAGAATGGAATTTCTGCAGCTGGCCCGTCATATCAAAGCATAATCAGCACCTTTGAGTGCCCCAAAGAACTGCCCCACAAAGTCAACAGTATTCATCACCTGGCTCTGTGTGGACCCAGCCTTTTTTTTCCGTTGTTTTGGGCTTGTGGAGCCCGATGCGGCCTCGGAGTAGGAGCTAACATGCCAGACAGAGTTCACAGCGATCGAGGGCCCGGTTGCTCGCAAGCATGATGGAATTATTTGCCTTCAAAATGGTGAAAAGCATGCTTTCCGGGATGCAGTGTTTCGTGACCTCTGCTAGGTCAATAGTAAAGCTGGCAGAACATTGCCAAAATTGTAGAAACCATCAATTTGAAAAACCTCTTTTTGAATGCATCTTTTTTTCTGAGAATGCTTCATTTATTTGGATTCAGTGGTTAAGCTTCTTTCATTATTTTGAGTTCATAAAAGCATTACGCCTATGAGCAACTGCGAGGGGAATCTGAATTTGTTCGTTCAACCTGAACAGCAGACAACTTTACAAGAAGAGCATGGACAGCTGATCCGTAAAGGAATCCATGTTTCCCAGGCCGATGCAGCAATCCGGGCACAAGAGTAGGCTCGGATGGCTAAGCGCAAGCAGCAATTGCAACAGCACCCTTACAATGAAAGCTCACAGTTGCTTCTCCCTCCACCTCCTGCGGCGTTTCATGCTAGTCAAATATGGGTTAGGCTTTCTCCACTACTTGAGCATTCGACGGCAGATCAAACATGCATGGAAATCTTACCGCATACCCGCTGCGAGCAGCAGAGATGAACTGGCTCGTCTGATTTCTGTGTCAGCAGCAGTCTTTCACTCCGCTTGCATGCTTTTACTTGTAGGTGGAACTTAAAATAAGCAGGGGATGTTAACAACCGCAATAGTAGCGCAGCTTTTAACGCTTAACAAATGTTTTAGGTGAGAACTGTCCTCAGTTTCCCTTTTATTTTTTGTGATTTTTTTCAAAATTGGTGCTGAAACTGCATATAACAAAAAACTGTTTAGAAACATATATATATTTTTGAAAGTTTTCAATTTCGTTACATTCAGAATTTTGCTTTGATGACACTGAATGAGGCCTTTTCAAAGAGGGGAACCCGCAGGCGGTGAAGTGTGAAACAACGTGGGTACTCCAAGCATCTCCCCCTATGAAAAAAGAAAAGCATTCCTGGCATACACAGTCAAAGCCACCTTATAAGCAGTCTGACAATAAAGCGAGAGGGGTGACGAACAATAGGCTTCACTGGGTGCAAGTAAGTGTATTGTGCGTGCCCCGTACATGTTCTCCTATGTCGACAATACTTGTTTGACCTCTCCAACGCCCAGAGGGGGGCTCCTTGCTACGTCAAATCACGGAAAATGCCGATTGCACCTGAATACTCAGACGAGCATGCACCCTTTCTTTAAAACCCAAATTAAGATACCTTATAGAACGCTTGTCACAAATAATCGGTCAGGAATGTCCCCGCACACAAGACTCTCATACAACACAAGTTTCTCGAGTTTCCGAAATTCGTGTCAAGGGTCCTTCACCCTAATGCATATTCAGCACAAAGTTAAGTGCGGCTATGTTCCTGTTGCGCAAGTGGAGCGTCGATAAAAAGTACCTGCTTGCGGAAAGTCCAGTAGTGGGTGGGTGCCTGGAAAGTAGTGAGGGCCCAGTCCCGAAGGAGGGTTCGGGGCACCATGGAGCCCTGCACGTCTCGCAGGATGTCCCGCAGCACCTGATGGCTGGCCTGGGAGCCTCGGGCCTGCACAGCTGCCAGCCGCTCATAGTAGCGACCCACCGGGGCATCGTGCTCCACACCTCGCTGCCCACACCTCTGCACAACACGGATGGCCCACTACATTACTCCAGTCGAAAAACCGTCTCGCATTCTCATTAAACCTTTCAGTCTGAAATTTTATGAGAACGAGAACAATATAGGCTATCCCTACCTGTCTAGCTTGTGACATCAAGAGTGTGCACCCTTTCTAAAATATCAATCAAGGTCTGATATAGGGCCCCATATTTTAACTGCCACTATTAATGACACTTACCCTTTCATATTTTAAAAGACTTTAGAACATTCCACGGCACTGAAAGAAACTTATTGAAGTTCAGTCACCCTGTACTGTTATTTGCAGTGGTAGCACACGCAGTAAACACAAGTTTACACTTGACGGTTAGTGTACACTGTAAACAATAGGTTTGGCTTGGCATGAGTTTACCAATTCTGAAGTTTTGAACTATTTTTAATAATCAAGTAGAAATAGGCATATATTACTGTATGTAGCTTGCCAAGGTAGTTTCACTGCCGTGCAGGACAGCTGCAATGTAAAACCACCTATCCAGGAGAAATCTGCACTAACGCAATGTCACACTATCACAAAATCCCGAGAAAGCACACCATCCCCTTCATTGGGAGATTTCAAATATGCGCCCCCTTCTCCCCACTCACTGTTTTTATTTGCTCAATGAGAACGAATGAAAATGGTGAATGCATGTGTATTTAATGAAGCATTACTTTGCAGCTCATGTGTGAAATTTTCAATTTTTAGCGGTTCAATCGCCCCCATCTAGAATGTCGATGCAGACCTAGCGAAGGCCCCCCTTGCGCTCTTGTCAAACGATTCTTCACCAGGAGAAGCACCTGCTTGGAACAGCACAATACAAGTGCACATATCACTCTGCCCCATTAATATATTTTCTAGTAATAAAACATGTAAGCATATTAAAGCACTCTACCACTTGCACTCTCCCACTATTCTAAGCCCTTCAAAATAGTTTAATACGAATTACCTTTGACATCACTTTGAACAAAGTGATACAGTTGAACCCCTCGAAACGAAATTCTTGCAACAACGAACAAACCTAGCATCACTTGAAAATGTCGTGAGGGTGCTAAAACCCCCTGTAAAGTTGTATGCACTGCGTGGTGCACATGTCCCACCCAAAAGCCGCATTTTGGGTTAACACTACAAGGCAGTAGGTGGCGTTAAGTTCGCGAGCGTTGATCACCACTATCATCATCATCATGGTATAGCGCCAGCAGCAACAAGCCTTGGTAGCGGGGAGCGAGAAATAAGCTGGGCTCTTCTGCGCGTAGCGGTTGCCGCGAACGGTTGTCTCTAGCATGGGCCTTTGGTACGTGGCACCGCGGGTTGCGCGTTGGGGGCCCTCGTGGTAAGTGAAGCGTTGGCGACTCCGCCTTTGGTGCGTTATTGTGTTTGTCATGTTTTGGAGTGTATGGTAACATTGTGTAATGATGTCCTATCGGGTTGATCACGATTTATGTTATAATAATTCGGCAGACGATATAGTCATTCTAAAGCAGTGAAATAAATGTGTTGTTGTTTGGTTTGTATCGACCGCGTCTACTGTCTTCGTTCACTCCAAGAGCGTGTCGCTCACCAATTCGAGACCCTCACACTGGTGCCCAACGTGGGGCTCTTGGAGAATCTACGACAGTTCTTGTGGTTTAGTACAAGTTTTTTCAGAGCCGGGGTAGAGTAGGCCTAAGGCAACTTCTCATTGCTAGCGTTGGCAGTGTGCTTTGTTGAGAGCGAGGAAATCGGTTTTGTGATGTGTTTGAACTTGACGGCAGGTTGAGTTCTTAAAAACCTTGTTGAGGCGGGATGAGAGCCATGCGGTCTGCATCCTGAGGTGAGCAAAGCTTAGAGCACATGGATTGTGGGCCAGGCCCGAAGCGAGCGAGTATAGAAGCCTTGTGGGTCGTCCGATTTTCTGTAAATAGCTTCATCTATCTCTCATGGGCTCAGGAAGCCGGGCGTCGTTGCTGCCTGGTGTTGCGGCTCGACGCCGAGGCGTCGCGACACCGTCCAGGACAGTGGACGCCGATTGCTCAGTAAGCTGCTGTGTGCGGCGAGCGATAGGGCCACCTTACAGAGTAGAGGTCTCCTTGCGGCTGCCTCTTTCTGCACCTAGGCCGGGTGCTGGTTGTTGCCAAGCGACTCATTAGGCCTAAGGCTCTGTGCCTGTCGCACGTGGCACAACTAGGTGGATCGTGGTGTTGAGGTGTTGCACTCTGCTTCCCTCCTTTTTATTTATCTTGCGATGCTTGAGTTATAAAAAGTGATTTTTGTTTTATTTTGATGGGCCTCTCGGCCGCCGCCGATGTATTAGCTAGCAGTACTGACCATCGTACCACGTGGGCGAAAAGCCCAAACCTTCCTTCCCTAGACCCTGCTCCATTGTTTCTATCAAGTGTTTTGGAATGTGCGTAGTGGGAGTTATGTAATCCACAGCTGGCTGTCTTCTGCACATCGTCAGCACCGCTGGCCAGGAATGGGGTCTTAAGGTCGGGCGATGAATATGCCTGGGACCTGCGCAACTGCCTGTAGACCGGTGCCCTCGGGAGTGCTGGTCGCAACCGGCAGATGTGTCGGGGCGAGTGACGGATCATCGCACTGATGGCAACGTTGCTGTTGCGGGACCTGTACTGAGGTGAAGTCGTCGAGCCGGACAGTGCAGTAGTGTCGACTGGCGGCGGTGTCGTTGTGCGCGGACGTTATCAAGGGACATGTGTTCTCATTTTTTTCCTAAAGCTTGTGTAGCTGATTTCTTTGTTTTTCAGAATATGGTTTGAATTAAAGTTAAAAAAATGTGGGGGTGCCGATACCCCCTGTAAAGTTGTTTGCGCTGCGTGGCGCATGTGTTTTGCCCAAAAGCCCCATTTTGGGTTACAACTACCAGGCGGTAGGTGGCGTTAAGTTCGCGAGCGTTGATCAGCACTATCATCATGATCATGGTATAGTGCCGGCGGCGACAGGCCTTGGTAGCGGCGAGCAAGAAATAAGCTGGGCTCTTCTGCACCTGGCGGTTGTCGCGAATGGTTGTCTCTAGCGTGGGTCCCCGGTATGTGGCATTGCAAATTGCGTGTCGGAGGCCCTCGTGGTACGTCAAGCGTTGGGGATGCCGTTTTTGGTGTGTTATTGTGTTTGTCATGTTTTGGAGTGTATGGTAATATTGTGTAAAGATGCCCCAGTGGGTTGATCACGATTTATGTTATAATGATTCGATGGACGTTATCGTCGTTCTAAAGCAGTGAAATACATGTGTTGTTGTTTAGTTTGTACCGACCACGTCTACTGTCTCCGTTCACTCCAAGAGCGTGTCGCTCACCAATTCGAGACCCTCACAACATCCCTAAACTTTATTGCACTTGTCCTCTCATGACGACAAAGAGATTTTCATAAAAGCCCTCCCGTAATAACAAGCTACGGATCCACGACACTTTTCTCTGAAAACATGAGCTAGTTGGGAACGGAGAAGTTTGAGAATTGCACTGCCACTCAATCGGCAAGTCAGGCACAATCATCAGTGGGATCCCTGCTGTCTACATTTGGTTGAATGACAGCAACAAAATCTTCGTTTTTCATTACCATCTCTGTTGGCATGTGATGTTTTGAGTCTTGATTGTGCTCAAAAAGCTCACGACATCATTGAATACGAGAGTGGGGAAAGCAACAATATGCAGAAAGTTCACACAAAGTTCTAGATGCTTTTGACATCATTCGTCACCATGATGACGAATGAAGCTATGCAGGGCTTCATCTGTCATGCACCTTCAGGGCAGCATGAAACTGATCAAGATAAGCAACATTTCAAGATAAAAAAGTTTTATGTTGGGGTGTACCAGAGCTCCGCTGACTTATTTCCATCACAGAAATTGCATTGTAAAATATTGCCACATCGTCTCCTCATGTTTTGTTATCATCCCGTTTTACTGTCAGTTAATTCTCAGTGCAAACCATGCCGACCCTGTTCGAGAAGCTTCGGGACGGCAGTAGATCATTTTGTTAGGATTACGCTTGCTTCATGAACAGTACAGTTCAGTTCATTCTGGAACCTACGTCGCCGCTAGTAATAAGGCTAGAATATTCTATAGCGAGTGTATAAATGTCGACACGCCTCGCCACTTGTCAGTTGATCGACGGTTGATGCCCTGTTCGCCACTATCAGTGCAAGTGTCTTACTTTCCTTTTGCGTGGCCACAAGATCGGCCCAAATAAACAGTTTCTTCTTCGACCTAGAGTCTGCTTCTTTCGTTCACGTCCCGACCACATGACATCTGGTGGAGGTGCTGGGTACTGACGTTGAATTCACTTTGGCGGCAGCAGCGGATCTGCGCACAGCCTACTGAACCATTGCATATTGTTTTTACAGCGCATGTCGTCGGTGCACTGCCCCGTGTCAAGGGAAATACGGTGGTCATCGTGGGAGTGACTGCTGACCTTTCAAATAGCCTCGACGCATCGCCCCGTATCATATCAGGGCACGGCTGTGATCATCGTGGTCGTGTTTTTGTTGTGCCCCGCTGTGAGCGCCACCTGGATAGCTGTTCAGCTCGGAGCATCTCCGGGTGTACTGAACCACACTTTGGCGGCAGCAGCGGATCTGCGCACAGCCTACTGAACCATTGCATATTGTTTTTACAGCGCATGTCGTCGGTGCACTGCCCCGTGTCAAGGGAAATACGGTGGTCATCGTGGGAGTGACTGCTGACCTTTCAAATAGCCTCGACGCATCGCCCCGTATCATATCAGGGCACGGCTGTGATCATCGTGGTCGTGTTTTTGTTGTGCCCCGCTGTGAGCGCCACCTGGATAGCTGTTCAGCTCGGAGCATCTCCGGGTGTACTGAACCACACTTTGGCGGCAGCAGCGGATCTGCGCACAGCCTACTGAACCATTGCATATTGTTTTTACAGCGCATGTCGTCGGTGCACTGCCCCGTGTCAAGGGAAATACGGTGGTCATCGTGGGAGTGACTGCTGACCTTTCAAATAGCCTCGACGCATCGCCCCGTATCATATCAGGG